CCTGACGGTCCAGCTGTCTTTCCCGCTCAGGCTGTGTGTCTTTCGCGACAGCATCTGGTGGGGACAGAACAAGACCATCTCATCTCCTGCCAAGATTCCCTGAGATCTCACCTGGCAGAGGTGCAGTGACGTGGCCAAGGTCACACAGTAGGAGCTTCTAGCTGTCTCACCACCAAGCCCAGAAGCATTTCCAACCGATCCCCGATCTCCACAGCCCATCCATGTTCCCTGGACCTGCCCCTCCAGCTGCTTTCTATTACACAAACGCTCTTCCTGGACCTCAGCAGCTGGGCGGGAGCTGGGGGAGGAGACAGAGCATTAGGGGGCTGAGAGGGGGCCTCGGACCGGACGGGTGGGGCTCGGGTTTTTAGGGAGAGGGCACACCTCTTCTGCAGGCCTCTGTCTTCTTGCTCTGATGCAGCCATTGCGGGAAGGTGGGGTCAGCCTCCAGCTCCCAAGAGCCCTCCCCTGGGGCTGCACTAAGATGAGCAGAGGACCTAACAACTGAGAAGGTCACAACCCCTCACACCTCCTCACAATGAAGAGAAAGCCCCTGACTGGTGTGGCTCAGTGGATAGAGTGTTGGCCTGAGGACTGAAGGGTCCCAGGTTCGATTCCGGTCAAGAGCATGTACTTTGGTTGTGGGCACATCCCCAGTAGGGGGTGTGCAGGAGGCAGCTGATGGATGTTTCTCTCTCATCGATGTTTCTAACTCTCTATCCCTCTCCCTTCCTCTCTGTAAAGAATCAATAAAATATATTTTAAAAAAATGAAGAGAAAGCCATTCTAAGTGATAAAAAACAAAACTTGCACATGTTCCCACACACCTGATAAGGTTGAAAAAGCCAGAAGAATACTTGAGACTACTTACTTACACATCCACGTTTAATCTCCCTTGGGAAACGCTGGAGGAGGCTTTACCATTGACCTTCCCCATCTATTTGGTTTCACTCTGGCTGGCACCCTAAGCCCCCCACCCCCCTTCTGTGACCCAGGTCACCCTACTCACTTGACGTCCTGCCTTTGCTCTGGCGCCGCTGGTGTCGGAGGAGGAGGAAGAAGAGTGAGAGCAGTAGGACCAGGGCCACCAAGACCCCGATCAGGACAATCAGGTACCATTTGAGACCTTGAACATGAGTGACATCATGAATGAGCCAGTGATGCAATTTAATGAGCACCTACTGTGTGCGAGGCACTTGCTGGGGTCTGTCACTAATTTTACCCTCACAACAGTCATCCACCAGGGATTGCTGACCTCACCCATTTCACTGAGGCTCAGAGAGGTTAATCACGTGCCCTAGGTCACCCAGCCTGGACGGGGCAGGGCTGGGACTGGAACCCAGGACTGTGAGTTCCCTTATGTGTTGTTATTGTTGTTATTATTACTTATGCTTTCTCTGTCCTTCCCAGTAGAACACCAGTGCAGAGACCTGTTACCAAACCCAATCACCACCCCTCTCTACCCCAGATCCCTGTCTCACTCTGCAGCCTGACCCCAACCCACAGTGGAGCCTGTGCATGTGGGGCGCCTCCGGAAAGGGCAGGAGGGAGGGGCTGGGTCCTTCCTGAGCTCTAACTGGGCAGGGCTGTGTACTGAGGGCCTTCCCTGTGAGGGAGGTGGGGGCCTGACCCACAGCCCATGGACCAGGACTCGGAGGAACAGACGTGTCCAAGGTCCCACAGGCGGGAAGGAACAGAGCTGGGATTTGAACCAGGGCTCAGGCTTCTCCTCCTGACTCCACGGCTGTTCTTTGGAAGGCTGTGGAGGAGCTTCAGACACCACTTGAGTCCCCAACACACACACACACACACACACACACACACACACACACACACACACACACACACGTATAGTGGGGCCTTGACTTATGAGTGTCCCGACTAACGAGTTTTTCGAGATACAAGCTGTCTCTCAGCCAGTTTTTTGCTTTGAGTTGAGTTGCGAGCTAAAATTCGGGTTACGAGCTAGCTTCAGATACCCCACCGCTAGTTGGCGCAGGGAACGTCACAGTGATTTGACATACAAGTAATTTGAGTTATGAGCTCCGTCACGGAACGAATTAAACTCGTAAGTCAAGGTCCCACTGTATATATACACATACATACATATGCACACACAGACACGGGCACACTAAGTATTCAGCCTTTGGGGAACTTGGTCCCAGTGAGGAGGAGGAACGCTCCTCAGGCCATGACCCAGGAAGTGGCTGAGCCAAGACCAACACTGAGCTCCTCCCACCCACCACCTCCCCCCAGACCCTCACTGAGTCCTCTGCAGGCCTGACTTCCCATTGGGGGACCAATGCTCACAGGCTCCTCAATCAGTATGGGAGGTGGAAGGTGGGGGCTGCTCCTCCCCTGGTGGTCCCCCAGCACCTCCCTCTGTCATGACCACCCACTTGTCACCTGTCAGCCTCAGAGCCCTGGTGCCCCGAGCTTCTCTGCCCCCAACCCGTCTGGGAGACAGGCCGAGCCCCAGCAGGGGGTCCTGCTCTCTCTGGGGGTTGGCCTCTGCTGGTCACACCCCTGTCTTGGTCTCTCTGGCTGAGGCCACAGGACTGGGGACTGGAGGGTCGGGATAGGTGCCTCTGGCCTTTCTCCTTCTGGTCAGCCCCATCCTTGCCAGCCTTCCTCTGCCCACGGGAGCATGTCTGGGCCTCAGGGAGGATGAGGATGAGGAGGGATGGGAGCAGTCTGGCTTTTTCCATCCCTCTGGGAGGTGAGAGTCCCCTCTGGGTTGACCTCCACCGGGTACTCCCTCAGCCCATTGCAGCCAAAGTTTCCTGGGGACAGGGCCCTGAACTGACCTGGGGACATGGGGGCGGGGCTGGGGCTACTCACCTGAGACCACCAGCTCCAGGGGCTCACTGGGTGGTGACCACACATTGGGGTAGGAGCTGGAAGAACCATAGCATCTGTAGGTCCCCCCATGGAAGGTGCTCACAGGGCCCAGAGGGAAGATGGCCTTGACCCACTGCCTCCCAGCATGGGTCCTGGGTTCAGCTTCCATGTGTCGGGGCGGGTCAGCCCCTCCCTCCTTCAGCAGATGGAAAGGGCCCGATGTGAGGTTAGAGCTGCAGGAGAGGGACACATTCTCTCCTGAGGCCACCACAGGGCTTGGCTGGGCTGAGAGGGAGGGTGCACCATACACTCCTGAGGGAGGAGAAAAGGGACTGTCACCCTCACACCCCAGGTGTGTTCTGTGAGGGGTGAGGTCCCCTGAGGCCACACTTTAGTCCTTCTGCCTGTGACCTGGAGCCCACAGTGGGGAGGGGACCCGGTGTCTCCCTTACCTGTCACCACCAGGAGCAGGGGGTCACTCCGCTCTGAGAGTATGTCCCCAGTGGTGTAATATGCACACAGGTACAGCCCTGCGTGGGCTGGGGTCGTGGCTCCAATGAGGAAACCGGCCTTGTTGCTGGAGTCCTGTGGGATCCTCGTATCCAAGGGCTCAGAACCATTCTCTTTATACAGAACGTAGGCACTAGCCTGCAGAGACCCCTGACACCAGATGGTCACAGAGCTCCCGTTGGTGACAATGGGGCCTGGGTCAGCCCAGATGGAGGGTTTGGGGACGTCTCCTGGAAAGGAATCAGACCTGAAATGTCAGGGTCGTCCTTCTCCCCACCTTCCCCAGCTGTCACTCCCAGGCCCCTCCCAGATTGGTCACCATTATTCCAACCCTGTGTCTCCCCAGCTGCCCAGGGGGTGACTGTGCTGAAGCAGGAGGTCAGGGGGTTGGAGGGGGGGAGACTCACCTGCCTGGACCTGGTCCCACGGGCCCTGACACAGCCCTGGAAGAGAGTCCCTGTGAGAACCGTCCCCAACCGACACAGAAGCTCCAGGCCTGGTCTGGGCCCCTGAGCACTGGGGGCAGACCTGGGGCTGAGCATGTCTCCTCCCCCAAAGTCCTGCCCCCACTGAGCCTCCTGAGTCCTGGGGTCTCGAAAGGCCAGGCCCTGGGAGGGGAGGGGACCCCATCCCGCCTCCTTTCCCCGGAGCTCACTGAGGCAGAGAAGGGCAGTGAGGGTAGAAGTCATGGATCGTCCTTCCATGGTCCCCAGTGTGCAGACGATGTGTAAACTCCACAGAGCCTCCCAGGATAGGAGAATGGGGTGTGACAGGGTCCAGGCTTCATGTGACATGTCACTGGTTCCTCATCAGTGAACTCACAGGAAGGGAAGTAGCCCCTCCCTGAAGGGTGGGCCTTAGTGGACAGCAAGCTGTGGGACCTCTGAGACCGACCTGAGTCTCACCAGACCCCACAGGCTCTGCCTCCACCTCATGCCAAACCCAAATCCAGACGGTGACAGCCGGCCCAGGTGAGGAGGGCGGAGGAACAGGGCAGGAGAGGACCCCACCCAATTTCTGGCCCAGTTCTGACTCTGCCTTTTCTAGAACCTCTGTGAGCTTGTGTAAGACACTTCCCTTTCCTGAGCCTCTGTAAATGCAATTGTTCTTCCCTTCTCTCACTGGCCAGGCAATGAGGCAGTACTTACTGAGCAGTGACCCTGGGCCGTCACTGGCCAGGGTCTAGAGCAGTGGTTCTCAACTTTCTGGTCCTTTAAATACAGTGCCTCATGTTGTGACCCAACCATAAAATTATTTTCGTTGCTACTTCATAACTGTAATGTTGCTGTTATTGTGAATCATCATGTAAATACCTGATATGCAGGATGGTCTTAGGTGACTCCTGTGAAAGGGTTGTTCGACCGCCAAAGGGGTCGCGACCCACAGGTTGAGAACCGCTGCTCTAGAGAGTCGTAGCTGAAGCTCAGGGATCCCTTCCCTGGACCCATGGGGCTGAGATGAATGAAGCAGATGTTACAGATATTTAGACAGCAGACAGTTCAGTTACAGTTTCCTGTACACGTTGGGAGAATAAAGGAAACGAGACAGTGAGGTTCAATAACTGGTAGAGGCCATGCAACCTGGGTCCTGGCTGAAGGGGTCCTTCTTGGGGATGGACCGACCCAAGGCATGCGCAGGGAGAAGCCCAGAGGATCGGACCAGAAAGATCTGGAGCTGTCCTCAGAAATGAGAGCAGTCAGGTGAAGGCGCAGGCTGGTCACACAAGGGCTAGTGCACCATGCAAATATTTGGAATATATTCTTGAAGTCAATGGGAAAAATTTTTAGCGACAGGTTGAACGAAGATATTTCGGTTTTTAAAGGCTACCACTATGTGAAGATGTTATGCAGGCCGGCTCTGCTGAAAATTCACTCCATTAGTAATAAAACTCCAACGTTCACCTGGCTCTTGGAGGGCGTGCTGGTCAGTATTTTAAGTCATTCATGTGGTTTCTGCGTATAACTCTTACACAAACCTGTAACAGAAAGTACATTTTCAGTTGAGTGGGATGAGGCAGGACAGGCTTGGTCCAGCAGGTTGGAGAGGAGGTGGCTAGGTTCCCATTGGCTAAGGGAGCAGCAGAGGAAGGCACAGAATTTCTAAACAGCTCAGTTTCTGCGTGTGGTTTGGTGTGGAGGGGAGTGTGGGTAACTGGGTGAGTTGGGTTGTGGAGGGAGAGTCCTGTTTGCTGGGGCTGGTGTGTTTAGCTCAACCTGACCATTCACAGCCTTGAATGTCAGATGTGCAACTTGGATCTCTTTTGAAGGTGGAAACTGGTGGAGGGGGTGCAGCAGGCTGGCTCAGACCAGATAGGGTTATAGGAAGGGTCCTCAGGAGGTGGGGAGAGGAGAGACCTGCAGATGGGGTGGGGCCTGGGTTGGAGGACCAGGAAGGAGGCTGATTGGATAACACAGATGAATCATCTTGAGTCTGTGGCGAGTGGGGGGCACTGCTCAGAAGGGCTCAATGGGGCACATGGAGTGAGCTGATGGTCGATGTGAAGTGCTCTAATGAGGAAGTGAAGGCTGCTCCACTCTCCTTGGTGCCTGGAGGAGCCAGTGGGGCCATCCCAGGGAGGACACCCCAGGGGAGAGGGAGGCCTGGGAGATTCTGAGAAGACTGTTCTCCATTTTTTAGAGGAAAGCAGGGCCCCACTGGGACTGTGGACTTTCTTTGCCCACACACTTCCCTTCACTGGCTTCCTGTTTCTGTAGGTCAGCACCATCTGTTTCTTCATGGCTCTCCTTCGAAACCTCTGAGTCATTGCTGCCTTTTCTGAGCCCCTCCACCCCTGAGTAGAGCTCCTCCCTCACACTGGGAATTTGGTCTCCAGCACTGGGCAAGCACCTGCATGGGAGGCAATCCAGATTTCAACATGGACACAGACAGACTCGGGGACCTGTATGACAATTTATGTTATTGATCTCCCATCAAAGGAGAATGATGTCAATGAAGAAAAAACCCAGATTTGAACAATTAGATAGCTGACCATTTCACAAATTTGCTGAAAGTCACACATTTACACATCCAAGGTACTCAGCTATAAATATTTAAAGCCCAGCCGGTGTGGCTCAGTAGTTGAGTTGACCTATGAACATGAGGTCATGGTTTGATTCCTGGTGAGGGCACATGCCCGGTTGTGGGCTCGATCCCCAGTGTGGGGCATACAGGAGGCAGCTGATCAATGATTCTCTCACCATTGATGTTTTTCTCTCTCTCCCTCTTTCTTCCGTTCTGAAATCAATAAAAAAAGATTTTTAAAAGTTTCTCTTTTTGTCTTTAACCTTTGCCTTTTTAATCATAATGTAGCTTGGTGTGGGCCTCTTTGGATTTTTCTTATTTGGGACTTGTGTGTCTTTTTTCTTCTCTAGTTTAGGGAAGTTTTTGGTCATTATTTCTTCAAATAAATTCTCAATCCCTTGCTCTCTCTCTTCTCCTTCTGGTACCCCTATGATGCTGATGTTGTTCTACTTCATGTTGTCCCAAAGGTCCCTTAAACTATCCTCATTCTTTTAACTTTTTTTCTTTTTGCTACTCTGATTTTTTATTCTTCCTTGTCTTCCAAATCACTCATTTGATCTTCTGCTTTATTTAACCTGTTGTTTATTCCTTCCAGTGTATTCTTTTTCAAAATCCTCAACTGAGGATATTTTTTTAAAATTATTTTATTTTTGTTAATCCTCACCAGAGGATAATTTTTCCATTGCTTTTCAGAGAGTGGAAGGGAGGTGGGGGGCTTGGGGAGAGAGAAACATCAGTGTGAGAGAGACACATCAACTGGTTGCCTCCCTCCTGTGGAGACCCGCTCCCAAAAGGTCCCGTAGGGTAATGGCGGCATGGGATGAAAGCACCAGAGACCGGGGTTTAGGAGGACTGGCACAAGGCACCAGCAACTTTATTTTTTTTATTTTTATTTTTTTTTATATATTTTATTGATTTTCTACAGAGAGGAGGGGAGAGAGATAGATAGTTAGAAACATCGACCAGCTGCCTCCTGCACATCTCCCAAGGGGGATGTGCCCGCAACCCAGGTACATGCCCTTGACCGGAATCGAACCTGGGACCTTTCAGTCCGCAGGCCGACGCTCTATCCACTGAGCCAAACCGGTTTTGGCAGCAACTTTATTTTTTACACACACTGTTTTATAGCTAAGCTGTGGCTGGTCATGCTTCATAGATCACTGCTAGGGCTTGGCCTATCATGGGGAAGTAGCAGATCATTACAGACTGGGCAAGACTGGGCAAGCTTTGTCTAGTTCCATCTATGTTTGACAGTTGCTATGACAAGCAGTTGCTATGACAAAATGTCTGCTTGCCTAGATCACAAGAACTGGGGTGCAAGCCAAGTTCATGTCCTTTACATGACTTGGAGTGAGGTCAGGCCTTTCCTGTAACCCCACGGCCTCTTACACCCTCCCATGCCTCAACTGGGGCTGGGATCAAACCTGAAACCTATGTATGTGCCCTTGACCTGGAATTGAACCTGAGCCTCTGTGGTGCAGGGGCCTATGCTCTACCCACTGAGAAACACCAGTCAAGGCTAAAAGTGATTTTTGAGACAAGAGGGAAGGAGAGAGGGAGAGAGAAACATTGATTGGCTGCCTCCCATAGGCACCCTAACCCGGGACCAAACCCACGACTAGGTATGTTCCCAGAATAGGAATTGAACCCACAGCCTTTTGGTGTATGTGATAATGCTCCAATTGAATGAGCCACCCAGCCCCGGCCAGTGTATTCATGATGTCATATATTGTATTCTTCATTTCTGACTTTTAAAAAAGGTTTTTTCATGCTGTTATAACTTTCCCTAAGTTCCTGGAACATCCTTATAACCATTACTTTGAACTGTATACCTGATAAACTGCTTGCTTCCATTTGATTTAGCTGTTTTTTTTTTTTTTTTAAAGATTTCTACTGTTTTTTTCACTTGGGGTCTGTTTCTCTGTCTCCCTATTTTGCCTGCATCTTTGTGTTTGTTTCTGTGTCTTAGCTAGGTCTGCTATGACTCCCAGCTTGGTGGGGTGGCCTAATGTGGTAGGTGTCCTGTGGGACTAAGTGGCCTAGTCTCTTTGATCACCTAAGCTGGGTGCTCTAGGGATGTCCCTTTAGTGGGTTATGTGGGCCCTCCTCTTGTAATTGAGTCTTTTATCTTTTTAAAAAAATATATTTTATTGATTTTTTACAAAGAGGAAGGGAGAGGGATAGAGAGTTAGAAACATCGATGAGAGAGAAGCATCAATCAGCTGCCTCCTGCACACCCCCTACTGGGGATGTGCCTGCAACCAAGGTACGTGCCCTTGACCAGAATCGAACCAGGGACTCTTCAGTCCACAGGCCGACGCTCTATCCAGTGAGCCAAACCGGCTAGGGCAGTCTTTTTTTTTTTTTAATATATATTTTATTGATTTTTTACAGAGAGGAAGGGGGAGGGATAGAGAGTTAGAAACATCGATCAGCTACCTCCTGCACACTCCCCACTGGGGATGTGCGCCACAACCAAGGTACACGCCCTTGAGCAGAATCGAAC